AATGTAGGTTTCTGTGTCAATCCTTTCTCCAAATATAATATGTATATATATAGTTGCCCCTTTAGCTTATTAAATAGCCATTTGATTTTATCAATTCTTAATTTTAAAGCACCAATAAACATGACAAATGTTTCAGATTACATCGGCGAAAATTGGAACAAGACAATTAATAATAAATTTTTATTGATGACCGATAATTGAAGAATATACGGTTATACAAATGGCATTTCAATTATTAAATGTATTTTTTTCCAATAAAGTCAAGATCGAGATACTATACGCAAATATATTAACTGAGCATATTAAATTAACTTTATCGTAAGTTTCATACAAATAAATAAAAGAATGCTCTTACTTACAACTTGACAAAAAAAAAATATCTAACAAAGTAAAGCGCACCTGTCGATTACCCCTTTCTCTCGTGAGAAAAATTCGAGACGTTCTTCCGCCCAGCTATCCCCGACAGGGACTCGACGATGAGGTCTTTTATGCGGGTGCATTACACCCGCAAGTGCATCACCGATCTCGCAAGGTCAGCGCGCCGGAATAAGCCGCGTTATTTTTTGTTGCTGCCGGCGATGCGCGATGTATCGTTTTTCGTGCTCACTCGAAAGCCCGGTCGTCCCAGGCTGAAGGCAGTCACTTAATATGTTTCGAGGAGGGATTAGGTGTCGTGTTTCGTCGGACTTAACCGTATAATGTAGGCTTGCCAGACTTGGCAGAGCATCTGCTTCCAAGCCCTCGACTCGTGTCCCTCCAGAGGGACTGGAGGTCTCGACTTCTCGAGGCCGCTGGGGAGATGACTCGGAGATTGGAAACACCGAGAGAGAGATAGAGAGAGAGAGAGAGAGAGAGTGTTGTTATGTACGAGCATATAAACGGATTGTGAATGTGTGCGAGTATAGACTATGACTGAAAGAGACGTGTGTATAGGGATGACACATAGTCGTAGATGAATTCAATACGTATCGCTGCCGCTAACGCGATTCAGTTGTCAAGGAGTTATTGAAAACGTTGAAATAGGTATGGAATAAGGTATTTCATATTAAAATATAGTGTGGATATATTATAATATATTGAATTATTATAAATTTAGATACTGTTCGTATATACAGCTAATTTTCAAACTGTTGTTCAGGAAACATCCTGAAGAAGAGTATATATTGTTATTATATAATATATTTAATATATAATATATTTGTAAAAATATATTTAAATATATATAAAATATATATAAATATATATAAAATATATTATATATATATAAAATATATATAAATATGTATAAAATATATTATATATAAATATATATAAAATATATTATTATATACTATTATATAATAAATGGTCCCATAAGATTTGTTGCGCGCTTGTGACGATCAAATTCGAATCAGTCTCCTTGATAAATGTGTTGCGGGGTATCAAGAGAGATATATTTGCCGAAAATATATATTCGAGAAATTGCAAGTTCTTACGTGGGATCTATGCGTTGTTAGAAACAGTTGTTGCGCGCGGTATATTGAATTCTTGAAAATGCACTGCGGTATTGTCCTGTTATGAATATGCGGTTCGCGCACAAAGATAGTCTTCCTAGTTCCTGTGAGCGAAGGGACACATGCGAACTTATTATCGTTGCATGCAACGGGAAATTCGTATGCTATTAACGCAACAGTTGGTAGAATGGTGAACGAATGCTTTTGGATGTATGTTACAGCGCATCTGTTTCTAACTACGTTTCGAGGAATAAGAACTATGTAAAGAAAAAAATAAATAAGTACGCAGAAATATGAAGCAGTATGCAAACTTGAGGACTGTGCGTAAAATGTACATACATATGTACGCACACACTTCTAATTGGCATATGTTGGTTGAAAGAACTGTATTGTGCAAAAAGAGTCGATATTAAATTACGTAGCTAAAAAATACACATTTTTTAAATATTTCGAAAGATTGCACATGTTTTGATTCTTTTACATATACGTGTAATTTATTCGCTTTTAATGAAAAAATAATGTTTACTTGCGAATTTAAACTTTTGATCGTATTAACATCTCAGTGATATTTTCCCTCATTTAAATATCTTGCAAATAAAAAATAATTCTATATCTTATTTTCCTCGGTTAATTATGCTTGACTAATTATTTTTAAATTATTATTATGTCAAATTATATTATCAGTTAATAAAACTTTGAATTAAAGTTCGTGTTATAATTAGTATTATTCTATATTATATAAATATTTTTATCGTTTAATATCATAAAACTATTAAAGCTCTAATTTTATAACATTACATATAAAATTATTATAATATTATAACATTAAATATAATTTTGTAATATTCTAAAACTATTATATAATATATTACAAAATTATATTTCTTTTGCTGACATAAAAATATCCGATAACATTAAAATCATACCGCGTTTCTTCCGGCAACCATAATTCTGTCAAGGATGAATCTTTCACTTACTTATTTTATATAATATCACATACAGAGATATAGTTTAATATTGAGGGTCGTGTTTCAAGCGCGCTGTATCACAAAGACAGTTATGTTCGGATATTTCTTTTTTTCGGTACGGCCGTTCCAAACTTAAACGAGCCGCGGCTGACCTCACATCCGGTTCTCTCGGGGCGTGAATAGAATCAAATGGAACGGAGGGTTACTAAATGACAATGGTCAACTCGTACGCGCCGGTTCTTATTTCCGGTACAGCGACGCGGACATTGTTCATCGCATCCTGCGTAGCGTATGACAGCCAAAGACGCGTCGCTTGTCGTATTCTATTTTTCTTTTGCATCTCAATTACTTTAGGCAACGATACTTTTTTGCCGTGCATTTCGTTAATTTTTTTCTAAAGATACAATTATGTTAATATTAAATTAATTAAAATTATTAATGAATGTATTATCATGGTGTTATTTATTTGAAACGTCTTCTGCTGTGTTTAAATTTATATTGAATATTTAAATTGATATATGTATGAATTTAGATTGAATATTTAGATTGTATAACTGTGCTTTGAACGTCTTGCGTTTAATTTATTATTTTCTAAATCAACTTTTTTCAGAATCCAATTTCAGATATACACGTATTACGAGGTAAATGCAAGTTCGTAAGAATCGGGATTATCGTTATGTGTGTGTGTGTCTAGAGAAAGGTGTTTTCATAAACGCGTACAATTACCATTAGAATGGTTCAATTTGCATTGTTTTACATTCAGCTTGCATCTTTATCGTTAGAATTATGAGTTTTCCCCTTTTCGGACTATTATTATAATACCGAAGTTGTATAAACGTTTCATATAAAGCCGATTTCATGCGAGTGATTACACTGCTTTCGCAGTAATTGAATACAAAGTGTAAAATTAAAATTTTAAGTCAAAAAGACAGATAAAATTTTATATTTACACAAGAACTTTACAATTTATATTGCGTTGCACATAATCAAAAATGAATTATAAGAATATAAATAGCTTATTCAAATGTACGTAATTTTGAGATGAGAATTTTCCTACAACTCAATTAATAATATAAATGCTTCTATTATCCTAATATTTCTTTCTCTTTCACGATCAAATAAAAATATTATTAATATTATTAAATCTGTAGACATCTGGAGTAAATTTTAGCTTCAGTCAATGTTTGTACTTTCCCAAATGTTTCCCTTTTAAATTTTAAAAGCAGAGAAGAGAGAATGACATGCAAAAATGCGTAGTATCTGATATACCTTACAGGAAATGAGTGTTATAATCATATAGGTATAGGGTGTGTAATCTAGAATTTTCCTATACAACTCAATTAATATAAATGCTTCTATTAATCAATCCAAATATTTTTTTTCATTCACGATTAAATAAAAATATTATTAATATATATTATTATTAAAATCTGGAGTAAATTTTAACTTCAGTCAATGTTTGTCATGTTCCCCAAATGTTTCCGTTTAATTTTTAAAAGAGAAGAGAGTATGACAAAAATGCGCACTATCCAATACACCTCACAGGAAATGATTGTTCAACGTTATATAGTCATGTATAGGGTGTGTTCGATGGAAAATAAAATTAAGGTTAATTTGTGCCGCGTTTGCTTCCAATACGTAACGCGGGTCATGCACGCACACACACACGTTTAATAATCTACATGAAGGCTTTCTCACGTTGCGGCCGATGTGCGCGTAATTGCCGCGAATAAATACCGTCACGGCTATATAGAGTCGCGTAGCGCGAATTGTTCACGGCTAATGAATTTACGGCTCTCGGCCGTTCACATTCCAAACGGAACGATTGAAAATACATACAAAATGCACACCGGAAATGCTCAAACGCGAACATTAGCCATCACGGTCTCATTATGGCTATATGCCATCAATCCATCTGTTTCGATAAATTTGTAACATATCTGTCAGACATACAAAATGTTACGAGCGTGATGCATTTCCTTCTATTATCACGTTACACAAAAGATTTATGCACTAATTTCCTGCGATCCAAACGTTTCGCAGTATTTTCCACCCGATTAGTTTAAATGTAACGATTTGTTGTAAAATTAAATATACGTGCATTATTAACATTATTCATTTATAACAGGAAAGAATTCTTTAGATATATAGTAATTCAATGTTTATAGCAGATAATCGTAGACTCTTCGTGAATTTTCTTTTTTTACAAAGATTCGACATTTTATAAAAAAAAAAAATTATATAATATTTTTTTATAAAAATTGATTTGATAAAAACTGCAACGATACCAGCAGAAAATATTCCAAATATACAAGTCTCAACAATATTTCTGTATCAAATTAAAATAATAACAATAAAAAGCGAAAATAAATGAAGCAATTATAAAAGATAGAAATAGTGAAATAATTAATTGATACCTAATTAAATGACTTAGTAATAAACTTAATTGGCTCCTAATACGTATATCCATAGCTATCTTTAAATACACTTTTTCCTTTCTCCGACAGATAAAATAATCTTCCCCGTTATCTACTTTCAGTTGGCGTCAGCACTGATGCTCTAGTAAAGGTCCTGGAGTTCTAAGAGAGAAAGAGCGAGAGACCAAGAAAGAAGAAATAAAGCAGGATGTGGCGCGTACGAGTCATCGTCTTCCTCCTAGCAGCCACTTCCGTCACCTACGCCAAGGTGGCCGTGTTGCCGCACGATGTTTACCCCGGTTACGAGGTGACGCAGTTCCGGGGCGAGGCGAGTCGGCCTTCGAACTTTCGCCTCCTGGAAACCGGCTTCTCCAAGTACTTCACCGTGCTTGGCAACGGCCTGGTGATGACAACGTCGGATCTGACGCCGCTCGTGGACCGTCCTGTCAACCTGATCGTCCTGGAGGAACTGGCCAACGGCACCCAGACCCACGACCTTCACCTCTACGTCATCAATCGCCGGAACATGCTGACCTTCTCGCACGACCGTCTCGGCGAGGGCGAAGTGGCGGAGAACGCGGTTGCCGGCACGCAAATAGACGGATTTCCGGTTCTGCGGGCGCGTGGCAGCTTTCCGGTCCATTACAAAATCCTGCCGGACGATAACGGGGAACGTCCGTTCGCTCTACGCGAGAACGAGTCCAACGAGACCGGCTTCAACCTCACCCTGAAGAGCCAGATGCAGGGTGTCCGAGTGGTGAGCGCGAAACCGCTGGATCGCGAGTCACGTGGTCTCTACACCGTCGTGATACACGCGTCGGACGGGAACTTTCTCAGCACGTCCAAGATCAGCGGCATCGTCCACGTGCTCGACGTGAACGACAACAGTCCGATTTTCGAACGCGAGCTCTACGTCTTCGAGATCAGGCCGACCAATCTGGATACGTTGCGCAACGGTGGCGACGTCACTGCGCTGCCCGGTTGGAAGAGGTTCTCCACCGTCGGCAAGGTCACGGCCAAGGACGCGGACGGGGACAGGGTCGCGTACAAGCTGGTGACGCCTAGCAGTCTGCTGATAGTCGTGCCGCAGACCGGCGAACTGTTGCTCGCTGGTGAGCCGGAAGTCAGCTCGGAGCAGGACAGCGAATGCGAGCTGATCGTCGAGGCGCATGATCTGCACACGCCTAGTCGCAGTGCCGAGAGACCGGCCAAGGTCATCGTGAGATTCCTCACCACGGAGCCGGACGAGTCGCCGGAGGTGCACCGGATAGAGAAGAGAAGAGTCACCCGGGCTGTGCGGCCGACGAAGAAGGTCGATTTCACGGAGGCGGATGGAAATATCGAGGGCAAGATCGCGTTTTATCTCGAGAAGGAGAACGAGAAGGAGACTTATAAGATAAGAGACGAGAATAAATGGGTTACCGTGGGCGCGAACGGCTCTGTCATGGTCAAGCAGAAGTGGGACTACGAGGAACTGGGTCCGGAGAAGACTATCGACTTCTGGGTTACTATCACGAACACAGGTACAGGTAATATCACCCAATTTCTCATATACATCTTTTTATACATATAGATCATTGGTCAGCTCGCTGTCGTTATATTTCGTTTGTAAGTATTTCATTTGATTTTTATTTCTATTTATTATTATATCAGGTGTTATATGAAAGAGATATATTTTTTACGAATTATTATTTTGACAGGGTGTCCAGCAGACTCGATGAAAAAAATTCCCTGACTTTTTAGTATTATTTTTTCCAAATATATAAATTATATATATCTATATGATAAATCAATTAAATGTTCAATCGTGAAATCTTTGAGATATTTTTGTCAACAATGAAAAGGTTTGGAAGTTACAATAAAAATTTCAATCAATTATTTAATCTGCATTATGTACGATAATCGAAACAAATATATGTCACTATAAACTATTTAAATAATCATCTTTTTTATTTATACTATATATTAAATTTTTTAGTTTTGTCTCTATCAAACACATTGAAATAAAATAACCCGACGATGAAAATATAAATTTAGAATAATGTGAAAAAATCCAGACAAATAGTAAAATTTCTTGACTTGATCGGTTTTCCAGATTTCCCTGACCGCTAGACACCCTGCTTAATTTTACTCTAATTTATATTTTTGAATACGATATTCGATAATATATTTTTAAATAAATTTTACTGTTTATTGTTTAATTAATTTTGTACTCTCTTGTCGATGTTTCACGTGTCAAGAGCCATGCGCACAATATGCCCCACTCGGTGTCCCGTGCCCATTTTGGGATGGTATAATGTTTTTCTTTAAATCAATATTGCCTGAAATAGTTTCAGTCGACTGTCACAAAATTCACGGACCATTCTTACACATTCACGCTTTTTTCTAATTCATATTCTATCTCTGAAGCTCTATTTAAAGGTTGCGGTATATCTGATTAAATTAGAGGTGGATAAGAATATTGGCAGCAAATATATAATTCATACAGATATAATAAATTATTAAATATATACGGCAAAAAATATTTAAACATGTATTTGAAACTATATTTTTAATGTTTCTTTATAAAATTTTAATTTTTTGATATAATTGTAATTTGTAATAAAATATATTTGTAGCTGAAAATTAATAATTTTCTTTTAGCCATGTGTTGTACGCCAGATATTTGTTGCCTTATTTATTTATAATTTCTTATTCCCATGTATGTAGAACTAATAATAATGATGGCTCTCTTTTCTCTTTTCTCGCATCATCAACTTCCAAAGGATTCCAATGTAAGTAGCAATTCATATCATTCACTTCAACACTAAATAAATAATGTTGAATATCGATACATACCATATTGCTTTCACATTGTATATCAATCTTTAAAAATCTTCTGTAAAAGCACATTTTCTTGTTTACACGCTTCTAGTAAAATTTTCGAGATTGCAAAATAAATTACTATTTATCGACGCTGAACGCTATTTGTGAATGAAAATAAAAAATGTATGTATTTACATAAGGAAACTCTTTGAAGGATAGCTATTCATTAAAAATCCAATCGACTCTCTTTCATTTTCAAAAGCAAGTGTAATTACGTATTAGCGTGTAGAAATATATTGGATTAAATATTCATGAAATTCAATATAAATTGTTTTCAACAAAATATCTTTTTTATATATAAAAAAATCCAATTCCTTGCCTCTGAATAAAATATATAATATAATTAACTTTTAAATTATTTTTAAATTAATATTTTTTTTTTATTTAATAAAAAGATTAGATAAAAATAGTGTTACTGTAGTGACAAAAATTGTAGTGACACGCAAATGGCGAACCAGCAATTGTTTTAACACGCTAATAGTGCTCTTATGGCTGCTACGTATATGCGGTAATCGATGTGACGTTATAGATACCGACAATCAGCGCGTCATCATCAACATGAAGGACGTCAACGACGAGCCTCCGTATTTCATTAATCGGCCTCTACCGATGCAAACGGTCGTCCAGTTGAATGCACCGCCGAACACTCACGTGTTTACCCTTCAAGCCAGAGATCCCGACACCGACCATAACATCCATTACTTCATCGTGCGAGATCGAAGTACGTAATAACATGAGCAATCGAGATTCGATATTTCGATCATTAACGCTCTCTCTTCACCCAACTCTGTCGCTGATGATGTAATAAGTACGGGGAGATTAATCTGTCGATGTTATAAAAGCGCGAATTGTGAGAGATATATACTTGACCCTCCTAAAGGCTTTACGATTTTATGCGATTTTTATACTCCGTTTAAGAAAAATATTTCGAAAAATTAATATTTAGGCTGTGTTGCATTCGAAAAGCTCGATCGAGGAAATAATTTTTGATAATAAGAAAAGATATCAAGAAAATTTAATACATCTCTGTCATAATGACACTGAAAAAAATTTGTTAACTTGACTAAACCTTTCAACTAAATATTATTTTCTTAATTGAACATATAAAAATATTTTAATTAAATATAACATATTAAATCTAACAAAACGTATATTTTATTTAAATACTAATATATGTTCGATTAATAAAATAGTAATTTAGTTGGAAAGTTTAGTCGAGTTAACAAATTTTTTTCAATAGAGTAATTGATTTTTTCTTGGCAATATTTGTTTAAGCAACAAATATGGAATTAAAACCATTTTTATAGGGAGTTTCTCTTACATATTCTCTTGCATATTCTATTTTCATATTCGCATCCGTCAAAATATAATTTGATGCTATTTGTAATACAAACGCGCGCATCGCATTAATACTTAATTTGAAAATTCTTGTAAAGCTGTAATTTGTGTCATAATAACACATGAGAACAAAATTTAATACATCTGTGTCATAATGGATAATTGATTTTTTCTCGGCGATTGTTTAAGAATTTTAAACATATGTAATTAAAATAATTTTTATAGGAAGTGTCTCTCATATATATTCTGTTTTCATATTCTCATCCGTCAAAATAAAGCTATCGTACGGCTAGATTTTATAATTTGATGCTAATTTTATTTTGCATTACACAAACATTTATTGCATTATTTGTATTTGAAAATTTTTATAAAGCTCTAATTCGTCATAAAAAATAATTCAGTCTAATAAATTAGAATAATTTTCATCGAATAAATTTCAGAACAATTTTTTCTTAAAAAAAAAAAAAAAAGAGAAACAACCAAAATTACATATCTTGAAAAATGGTTGTATTAATAATTCTCTGTATATCTTTTTTATTGAAATTCTTTGAGCTTATAAAGAAATTAAATTTCATATCAGCTGTGCTTGCAACCAATATTGAAAATTACTATAGCAATCAAAAAGACTAATTGTCTTATTTGGTTTAGGTAAATGTCAAAGAGTTCGATGTTGTCATTATATGAAAAATTGTGTTCAGCCAATCGAATAATATCGTTTCATTAATTACACGAGAAATATGTGGATTTAATATCTGAGTGCATGTATGTGCATAGAAACATGCGGAACAATCGCGCGTACGGCCTAATTATTAATCTAGCCAATGCAACATATCGGTGTAAAATCGCACATCGACGTCATCGAAAATGCGCACGCGATGATTACGCCGGTGACCCGGTATCATATTTTGCAATTTATAGGATTATATCATGTAATAACGCTATTATGCCGAATGCTTTCCCTCACGATCGCATTTCAATATTATAAAGAATTTTTGTTGCGCATTATAGTATACGATATGGAGTATGCTTGTAATTTAACGCCGTATTATTAATGCGATGCGTAATATATTACACTGACGAATAATAGCTTAAATGCTATCAAATGTTAAACTACCATTTGATTCTCCTAAACGCTCGATTGTTCATTCAGATTTTGGGTAGAAATCTACGTTTGTATAATTCATATATATGTGTAAATTAAGCAACCAGTTCAATTTAATCTTTCAACATTATATAAATATGGAAGGGTAATTTTTCTATATTATTTCATTTTTTTAGTAATTTAAATGCGAGAATCGCGGAAACTGTCGTGCAATTAATGTTGAGCGGAATCTTCACTGGCAAGATTATCGCGAAGATAACGGCCGCCCTGATCAATTAATTAATTAATGAATTATCTGTTATGCACACGCAGCTGGTGGCCGCTTTGAGGTCGACGAGAGATCGGGGGTCGTACGTACTCGTGGCACTGACCTCTTCCAGCTGGATATGGAGTATGTCCTTTACGTGAAAGCTGAGGATCAGAACGGCCGTATCGACGAGAGGCGTTTCCAGTCGACTCCTGAGGAGAGACTATCGATCGTCGGTGGAAAACGCGCACCGCAGTTCTATATGACGGCGTACGAGGCCGAGATACCGGAAAACCAGAAGAAAGACTCCGAGTTAGTTCGCAAGTCAATTTATCCAATCATTCTATTCCTCGAGTATCATATGTGTTTCGAGGAAACAGGTCTGAATTCCCATCTCGAGACGTAATTGATCAATCATTTTTTATACACAGAGAGAATTTTCTCTTAGAATTTACCATGAAAATCATGGAAGAATTTTATGAGTTTTTCTGATTAATATTTACCACGATAAAAATATTAATATCTAGCACAATTATGTACCTATTAATATTTTTTATTGTGGTAAATATTAATCGGAACTCTTATACAATTCTTTTAATACCATATTGTCCACGATTACCATAATTTTCAGGGTAAATTCTAAGAGAAAATTCTCTCCGTGTAATTATAAATAAATTGTTAAAAATAAAAAAAAAAAAAAATTAATATTTTTCAATATTTTTGTGTGGGATAGTGGATCGCGGTTTTAATCTTAAACTATCGCTATTTATTGTAAAAAATGAATAGAAAAGAAATCTAGATTTTTCATAATTATGTTGGATCGTAAATTATATTTTTTGCAATTTATTTGTATAAAAAATGCCAATATAAATACGAAAGTATCAAGAGATTTAAGATTATTAGAGTAACGTTGTAAGATTTATTTGTATATCCTTTTTTGAAATTAAATATTGGCGAGATTCAAACGGATGAACGTTGCGAGTTCATTGGCTTTTACGCGATGATTTTTTCACGTTCCGACTGGCTTACTTTCTTTTATTTGCTCTCCGATATTATTTGTTAGTACAAGACCCCGTTTGCGTTTGATTATCGTAACTGGTCGACTCGAGAATCGAGTTTACTTTCGAAATTGTTTGTCTTCGAAAGGCCCTCGTTGACTTTTCCAACTTCAATCTGAATTCGACCGAGTTACCTTTGCGACGACACACATTCAAGACTTATTTGACAGACCTGTTCCTTATTTAGATCGCGCATCTTTTCGCGCCTTTTGCAATTATTTTTGCGCGTCGTTCGCGAGGATGCTCTCGTGGTAGAAATGTCACGTATTGAAACTTTTTAGCATAATATCCGTGAAAGCCAAGTCGTTCGCCGATCGGGAGATACGTTATACGCTGAAAGCTCAAGGTCAAGGAGCTGCGGGTACATTCAACATCGGGCCGACTTCGGGTATCGTGAAACTTGCGAAGGAACTGGATTTTGAGGATCTACGACAGCCTCACATTTATTCCTTGATAGTGACGGCGACGGAGGACTCCGGCGGTTTCTCGACATCCGTCGAGGTAAGTGGATTTATGTCTCCCTCGAACTTTGTTATTGTTGCTACCGCGATAAAAGTGACATTTCTCCTTCTACCCTCGTATCTCTCGTATACGTGCGTGCTATTGTTTCATTTTTCCTCGAGTGCAAGTTATTCATTTTTAGAATTACATTGAAAAAAAAAATTGGTTTCTTGTTTTAAGAATTTTCCACGTATTTTTAAAATTAATTATTAATTTTTATTAAATTTGTTTCATAAAATAGAATATTCTCTTTTTTATAATAAGCTAGATATCAATTATAACGCAATGGGGAGAAGAGAGAATAAACTATAGTTTGAAATGAATTCTGAAAAACTCATTAAAGTATCTTTTCTCTCGTTTATACAATTATCGTATCATATTCAAATTAAAATAATTTTTCAATTCTTCTATGATATTTATAATTCGAGCCTATTGTACTTTTTCATTTTCCACAATTAATTTTGTGAATTAAAAAAAGTAACAAGAGAAAGCTATATATTTAAATGTTTCGAGCAACGCGTCTTGCTCGTATTAATGCCCGATTGTTCAACTTTTTAGCTAACGATCCGAGTGTCCGATGTGAACGATAACGCACCCAAATTCGAATTGCCGGATTATCAAGCTCACAATGTCGACGAGGATATTCCGCTGGGGACAAATATACTGAAAGTCAAAGCAACCGACGCTGATTCGGGGGCAAACGCGGAAATAGAATATTTAGTGTCCGACGATCATTTCAGCGTGGACTCGAATGGCATTATCGTTAATAATAAACAGCTCGATGCGGATAACAATAATGCTTATTACGAATTCATCGTCACCGCTAAGGATAAGGGTAAGTAACGAAGAGATATAATAAATTTTACGAATTTAATTAATTAAAATATATGCATATTTCTGTGCGTATATAAGAAGCTCTCCTGATGTAACCTATCTATCATGGAAAAAAAGAATTAGCTACCATAGCTAAATATTAGCTGTCCATATATATATTACAACCTGACCTTACAATAGTTATCATACTTAAATTTAATAAGCTATGATAACAAATATTTTTAGCCACAGTTTAACGGAGAATGTTATAGCTGAAAAATATTAGCTGTCAAAATTTAGCTGTGGTAGCTGACTCTTTTTTTCCGTATACTTGTAATTGATCGAATCCGGTTTCCAATTTGTTTTGATCAAACGTCGATCGATCACTTTCGACGACGTTTCTCGCTGAAAAAGAATGTTTCCTAAACGCGACTCGGAGATTTGGCGACGTAGAAAACGCGAAGATTGAAGTCCCCTTATTCTGTCAGCAAGCCGAGGATCAGCTCCGGGCGGCTAAATCTCACCGATTTGGTTTTCAAACGAGCTCCAAATCCTCGTCTTGCGTGTCGCCGAGCGGATATCAAGGCTCGCATCCGGCGTAGCGACTCGAATTTATGTTATTTGCATATATACGGCTCCAATGCGGGACGATTTCCAAAACAAGTCGCGGCTTAATTGGAAATAAAGCAGCCGAAGCGGCATGTGAGCGCTTTTATTTATTGCGCGTTCATGTGCGCACGTCGACCTCGCCCGAGGTTTGACGTTTGTAAAAAATACCTCGCTCGACACGCATTCCTGTCACATACATCCCGAAATTCAATAATTTAAATTATGACAGCGCGATTCTCATAATGTTCGAATCGATACTGCGATGGACGCGACTTATATCACGTGGTTATGTTTTGTAGAAAAACCACGCATTATTATTGTTGTTCTTTTAGAGAGCAAAATATAATTTACTTCCATTACCTGGACATGAAAATGTAAAATAAAATCAATAATTTCTCACTCACCGATGTTGATGCAATAGCAAAGTTGTAGTGCACAGCACATGGATCTGAAAACAAAATATTCAAATTATGTATTTTACAATAATGATTATTTCAAATTAATATGCGCATCTTTTTTAAAACTGAGTATATTAAAAAAAAATTATATTTATTTTATACCTTATTTCACATTATCACATACACAATACAAATATGTACAAGAAGAAATCAAATTATGTATATAATATAGAGAAACGCCTAATAATGTACAATAATGATTATTTCAAATTAATATGCGCAATTTTTTTAAATTGAGTATATTAAAAATTATATTTATTTTATATTTCATTTCACATTATAACATACACAATATAAATACGTAAGCTAGAATTAAAGATAACTATTTACAAGAAAAATACCGAAGGCCAAAGTGAGATGCTGCATGAAATTGACGTCTCAGTTTGTCCTAAGGCACTTTCGTTGCTTCAATGGCCATAACTATTTGTTTAAACTACCAAGAGCTCTGGAACTTGAAAATAAACCCAAATTTCTGATGAATTGAATTATCAGAAGCCAGCTTCACACTAATAAGTCTACTCAATAATATTATCGACTAAAGGGTTTCGATCTTCCAGGAGAACCGTCGAAAACGGGAACGGCGACGGTGCGGATCTACACGAAGAATAAAAACGACGAGGAGCCGAAATTCTCCCAGCAAGTTTACACGCCTAACGTCGACGAGAACGCCGGGCCGAACACTCTGGTGACCACTGTCGTGGCGTCGGACAAGGACGGCGATAACGTGCGATTCCGCTTCGTCGGCGGCAACACGACGTCGGGACAGTTCGTGATCGAGGAGATTACGGGAGTGATTCGTCTTCACGGCAAGGAGATATCCTTGGATCGCGACAAGTACGAGCTAAACGTCACCGCCTTGGACGACGGCGCGTGCTGCCCAAACGGGGATCAAACCATCCACACCAGCACCGCGGTAGTCGTCGTCTTTATAACAGACGTCAACGACAACAAGCCGGTGTTCAAGGATTGCGGGATGTATTATCCGAAGGTCGAAGAGGGCGCGCCCAACGGCAGCACCGTCATCAAGGTACAGGCTACCGACGAGGACAAGGGTGTCAACGGCCAAGTCAAGTACTCGATCGTGCAGCAGCCCAATCAAAAGGGCACCAAGTTTACCGTTGACGAGGAGACCGGTCAAGTCTTGACCAACAAGGTATATCGATAAACAGAGAGCATTTTCTCGTAGAATTTAGTCTCAAAATCATGGTAATCGTGGACAATATGGTATTGGAAGAATTTTCAGAATTTCTTTCGTTAATATCTACCACAATGAAATAGAAAATATGTTCGACGAATTTTACTATGTACATAGCAAAATTTACTTTGTACATATTAATATTTTTTTATTGTGATAAATATTAATCAGAGAAATTCTTATAAAATTCTTCCAATACCATATTGTCCATGATTTTCAGGGTAAATTCTAAGAGAAAATTCTCTCCGTATATATTTTATTTTTTATTATATTTTCAAGAGAGAAAATAAATTTTTATATTTTTATATTTTTGACAAAATGCATAAATGAAAGTTTATATCATGCAAATTTTTAAATTTGACCTTTTTGTTTAAAGTTTTTAATAAAGTACATAAATGTTGCGTCGATTATATGAAACGGGAACATTTCAACGAGATCGGCTTTAAAAGAATAACTTTAATATAAATGAAACTCTCGCATGTAATATATGGAAAATATTAATTATTCTTTGAATATATTAACAAGTATCTAACAATCATTAATTTTCATTTTTACCGTGTTACTTTGCCATCTATCAGACCGAACGATAAACACGCGAGGTACTTAACACTTTAATTATTGCTCGTGTTGCGAATCCATAAAGATCTTTAACAATAAGATATCAACGCTATATGTTCATTTTATGTCAGTACGTGTTTTTACTTAGTTCTCGCTTTTTTATATTTACTTCGCTACATTAATTAATAAAAAAAATTGCTATACATTTTATTTATTACTGATTGTATATATAAAATTTTGAAATCATTTTTGTGAGAATTGCTTAATTTTGTTGCTTCAATTATGTACCTACATATAATATCACTGTCCTACATATATTATTCTATATATATTATATATTAGAGACAAAAATTGAGATATTCTATATAACTTTTTTTGATTAAAGAGACAATATTTTTCGTTTCATTCGTACTTAAAAATATGATATTTTCAGGTTTTTGATCGTGAAGGCGATGATGGGAAATTTGTGTCCGTCACTGTTAAGGCGACGGATCAGGGCGAACCTTCGTTAGAAGGTGTTTGCTCATTTACCGTCGAAATAACGGACGTGAACGACAACCCGCCGCTATTCGACCGACAGGTGGGTACACTCAACCAGAACTCGAAGGCAAATGTTTAGGGAAGAACCCCATTCGGGATAGAAATTCGCGAGCAGATGTCCGGAAGTAAGATCGTGCGCTGGCGAAACCACCAGCGATGTTTCTCGATGCATATAATTCGAAAGAGCGATGTAACTTTGGGCTAGTTTCGCTGCTAACTCGATCAAGATACATGCATACATTGTCGTTTATCGATTTAATACGTATATGCAGGATGTCCCATTTTAATTCGTGTAGTCGAATATGTCTGAAACTGTAACTGTAACTTAACGAGAAAATATTTCATACAAAAGTGTTCAAACGTATTTCAATAATTTTTTGAATTTTAATTTATATATCATTTTTCGAAATTAATTTAGTTTTCTTAAATAGAATCGTTTTAATTTTTTTATATTGATTTCTCGAAATATATTCGACAAGAAAAGTTATTTTCCGACGAGCTTACCGCAATATTTTTTTGCATAAAATAATGAGAGGAATCAATTATTGTAAAGAAAAATGTGTAGCTGTTAGTTACAAATTATATACTTAAAAAAAAAAAAAATGTTAAAATTCAGGATTATTAATTTATTTCCGCTTTAAAATCAAGCAATTTTTGTTAAAAACTTTTGTAAAACGTCATGCTTTTTATATATTTAAGCATATTTTCAAAAATAGGACACCTCGTACATACAAGATTTTCTGCAGCGAAACAAGTATAACACAAGTCCATAATTTGTAAAGTCCGCGGCATGATATCATATCTAAAGTGCATCTCATAAATTATGGACTCGGTTCACTTTTCTATTTTAAAATAGTTATGTTACAACATATGTAGCGTGTTTTGCGAGGTATTTGTGTCAAACTTTGAGAGTATAATCCCTCGTTTTAAGTTTTCATTTGTGAATGTTTGAGAAAAGTTTGACTTATATACAGACGAGTTTAATAAATATAAGAAATTTAAAAATTTTCCCAACACTTCTATTCAAATAAAACTTTGAAAGTTAATAATTAAAAGATAATTACGTAATTTATATAGGAGAGAGATTGACTAATATTATTAATTATATATATATATATATATATATATATATATATATATAAATCCCATATAATTACGTAATTACATATTATTTTCTATCTGGATATATTTTATAAAATATATTTAAACGTAAAATCAGCGCGTCGGAATACTCCGAGCAGATTGAAAACTTTTGTTTTCGTTTTGCAGAGATATGTAGAAAATGTAAAGCAGGATGCGAGCATCGGAACAAATATATTGAGAGTGTCGGCATCCGACGAGGATGCTGACAATAATGGTGCGATCGTGTACTCGCTGAGTTCGCCCAACAACGAGCAGAATCTGGAATACTTTGAGATCCAACCAGAATCTGGTTGGATCGTATTAAAGAAGCCCCTAGACGTAAGTATCTCTATAATAATATCGCTAATATCTTACATATCGTCTCTCTTTAGCAGTAAAACAGCATCGTTTTCCTGGAACACTCCCACTTTTTTCGTGGGCGAGGCTTGCAATTTTTCTTTGCGGCTTTTGTGCCAGCTTCTTATGCTCTCTTGACGTCTCTTTACGATAATACACACGATAATTACTTCAAAAAAAAAAAAATGTTACCTCGGTAATTAAAAATTGTGATATTTCGCGCGAGAATAATCTGCGTATCATTGATATTTCGTGATCGATTATATGATATATTATTGAATGAAAATCGCGAATGTGATATAGGCTCGTCCTGAATAAGTGTACGCGTGTCCCAGGAGAATGCGTAGGCTATATACGTAGTATATACTATATCTATTTATATATATATATACGTACATATATGATATATCGTATAAATACAAAACTTGAGTGTACACCTTCTGCCGATATATTGTATACGTTTGCGTTGACTTACGTTATTATATTTAACACGAATCCGTTTTGTTGCTAAGCGGATAAACTTGTACTAATATACGTTTTGGTCGGCAATTATTTCTCTCATCACTAATATGCAACGAAATGAGTTTCCTTTTTACGGCACATGTATAGAACTTTTTAATTCCCATTGATATGCACAATGTGTTCACTATGGTAAATACTTAGCTACTGCCTGATTTCCTCAAACGCTTCATGTACCTGAATCGATCGACCGTTCGGGCTATTTTTGCAACAAAACACTCTCTCTCTGTCTCTCTCATTCTCTCTATTGAGAACATACTCGCGGCGCGAGTACCTTTTAAAAAGATTCCAAACGAAGCTTTGATACCTCTTGTCCAGTTTTTTCATTCAATTTTCGTCGAGAATCGGTCCTCGAGTTATACGTAAACGAATCGTAAGCGGTCGAAAGAACAAAAATGAAACATGCGCGTTGTACATCTTTTCTTTTCCGTCCTTCTTGTTCTCTTTTCAAATTCAATTTCCGTTGTTCGTTTTGTCGCGTTTTCCGCGTTTTGTATCGCGACACCAATCATGATTTTCAATCGGCCCAAACGTGCCGGTCGAACTCGAAAAAGAAACGTGTGTACTTTTCATACTTTTCCCGAAAAGAAAAGAATGTATAATTCATTTTTTTTGTACGTATTATACGCGTTGGAGAAAAACGGGAAAGAATGGAAAGGAAAGACGGTGATAAAAAAAAAACGATGATGATGAGATAAGAGATGTGACAAAAAAAAAAAAAAGAAATGGAAACGTTCGGAGCAAACTAATATGATCTTTAATTAATCAACTAACATTATTAATTGTGAATGTTTTTCAAAAGGGAAGTGATGTTTTTTGAACTTCCAGGAGCAGGTGGGAACGACATTTTTGAGCCCCACGTACGGTGTACTTCAACCTCTACGCATTTTGTGGTGCATCAGACATAAACAATTTTTGACAATGCTTGCATATTTTATATGAATGATATGTTTTTGATTCCTTTACAGGAACGGATCTCGCTCTCGCTCCTACATCCGTCCTTACCCTGTCTTTCTCTCTCTCTCTTTTTCTCTTACTCTATCTGTATCTCCCTCTTTTCTTATCTTTATTTATTATTTCCGTTTGTTTCTTTATATAAAAATGTATATACTTTTCGTATGTTGCATTTTGTATTTTCCTGTTATGTTGATAATTAATTTGGAAAATATGTGCCTGCTGATTATCGATTTACTGATTTTGCTGCGTTGATTACTTTCCTAATTAGTTTCTCTATCTATCTATATTTTGTTCGTTAATCAATTTGTACGTGAAAAACAAAGCCTAAGTTCCTCTACTCTTTATTTCCTATTATGCCTTTTAAATTACTTCTATGTTATAATTTCTTCTACATCTTTCTAATTTTTAATTTTTATCTTTTCTTTTCCTTATATATATATATATATATTTTTTTTTTTTTCAATCTTTCTGACGTTTCCCGATTTTCATCCCACTCTCCCGGTATACCACGACATGACTGACAAAGAAAAGGAAAGAATACGAAAAGTATTTTTTGATCGAGAGCGCTTTAGTAATGTATATATACATATACATATGTATAGATCATAAGAGAACTGTCCGTGGTGTGACATTTTTTCTTCTGTGATTGGGGCGGCATACCACTGTCGTGACGAAACGGGAAGAAAGCGAATGAAAGTGAAATAAAAGTCGGAAAAAAACCAAACGTGCGGATTATATAACTATCACTATCACGACGATTCAGAAAATAACGTCCATCGGTTTTTGAGTGTCGTTAAAAAAAACGAGAACGAATCAGACGAGGGGTCGTCATAGTTTTTTTCTCCCATCCCCAGAGTTCAACATCCCCCATGTAACAACCCTCTGCCCGCCCTTTTCCCTTCTTCGAAACCTTCACATCCATCCTCATCAACAAACCTTTCACTCTCTCTTTCTCTCTCTCTCTCTCTTTCTCTCTCTCTCTGTCTCTCTATTCTCCATCTCTTTTCCTTCCTTTTCCCAATCCTTTCTCCTAATGCCTCTTTATCGCATTCTCGCTTGCATGCAAATGCCTGCATTGATTGATTTCGTAAAGGAACTAATTTCAACTTCTTATTGTTTATGTTTGTGTTTATTGCACCATTTACTTTCTTCGGATTTGATGATGAACAAAAAAAAAAAGGGCTGTTTTCCAGTAAGTAGGATCTATATTCTTGTGTTTCACATCTTGCATCGAGACACATTATGATGTGACAGCATTGTTACCTACGCCAAAAGAAAAGTATAATATTCGTTGCAAATACTAGAGCGCCTTTCCGTTCGATTATATTCAACATTATATCGTTTCGATGATTTTTTGCCTCTGTTGTTATTGTTGTCACTCGGAGACGTCACTCTCTCTCTCTCTCTCTCTCTCTCTCTCTTTCTCTGCTATCTTTCTCTTCTTGTCGCTCAATTTTTCTATAAATCTTTCTCTCTATCGTCAATCTCTTCAAATGTTTTCGTTCAAAAGTTTTGTTTCCTATCACGCGCGTTATATTTTTATGTACATACACACGTGTGCTACCGCGCTATTTTCGCTCTTTTGTCCTGGTCTCGTACGTATCCGTAGGTGAAGGATGCTATTTCGATGCCTGGTATCCTACACCACCGGTGACCTATCAATTTGTCTTTCTCGCGATGCTGGATATCCGACGGACGTTTGACAAATAAATATCGTAAATAATGGCTGTCACTAAAAAGCTTAAATCTCTCCGAATTTATCAAATTTGTAAAAGATTCTTTTAGGTGATTAAACGAAAAAGTTAATACTTAGAGGGCCACTTTAACCAAATTCTGATTAACTTAATCGATGATTAAACTATATCTTTGTCCCTTTTTAAGAACGCGTCTAAAAAGAGACGAAGATTAAGTTTAATCGTCGATTAAATTAATCAGAGTTTGGTTAAAGTAGCTCTTAATGTGTTTAAGAGATGGAAAACTTGAATAAATTTATTTAAATTTAATTTTTGAATGATAAATAGAAATAAGAATTTATTGATTTATATTATCAATTATTTAATAAGGTGAACTGAACATAAACTGACTACTGAAAGCTCATGATCACATCATATTTAATTTAGTATTTATATTAATTTAGTATTTTGTATTATATTTCATATCTCTTTTTTCTATGTAAATCACATTTCTTAGTAAAATCACAAAGTGATTTAGTTAACGTCCGTCGGATTAAATGTTATACAAAATTCTGGAACAGCTTCAATAATTATTTTTAATGTTCCAGGAAGCCGATAGATCTCATTATTAATGTTATGAGATAGCAAGATCTCAATTATAGGCAAATATTTCTAAAGCATTCATTTGGAAAAGAAATACCGATCATGAACTTGATTTCCAAATGGTTAATATAATGCAATGTGTTCTTTCTAAAAATTACGATGTTAACCTTGTAAGCGGATGAATAGAATCTCGACAATTTTTAAATTTACAAAATTAAGATTTCAAAATTTTTAAAAATTTAGTCAATCTTATATAATTGAAATTAATTGTATCAGTTTTTTTTAGTTATGTAGATATATACAATTATATTTTTTAAATATAAATATTTTTACTATAATTCTGTTTATTTCTAATTACTATTCATCCGCTATTTTATTATACTAGATATTTTAGAATAAATTATAAAGTTAAATTTTAAATATAGATACTTTTGGATCTCTCTACATGTAAATAAGAATTTAAAATACTCCAGGGAAAAATAATATTTGCAAATTAAATGAAAACTTTATTGTGTGCGCAGAGAAAATTTAGAATAGAAAAATAAAATGTATTAAAAATTGATAAAACATTTATGATACAAACAAAAAGAAATATTAGTAGCAACAAAAGATAAAAATATTTATAAAAATAAAAAAACAATTCTAGAATATCTAGTATATTTTCCGCTTTCGTGTTATCTCGGATGAGCAAGAATACGCATTTGATCCATGCAATCATTACTTGTAGCATTCAATGCAATTTTTGTGTACCTATATGCACTTTTCCACTTTTCTTTAAAATCTCAATTCTAAGGATATATTATTAAAAACGGTGTTATGGAATTATCGAAGTATCTTTGATGCAAAATCAAATATGTATCGCACAGACAAACAATTATTTGTCTGCTAATGTCAATCAATTAACAATATAATTAGCAATGAGCTCAAATATGCAGGCCTGTGCATCCCACAGGTAAGTATAGCGTCACAACTACATCGTCTACACTTGCTTACGATTATTTGCAATCTACTCATTTGATTATTTATTGAAACTGATTACAGATTGCACATATTTGCGTATCGATATATTATTATTGCTTTATGTTAATCAACAGAAATCGGCGATGTAGTACCCTCATCATTATTATCACCATCATCACCATCATCATTATCAGCATCATCATCGTCATCATGCTACGTCACGTGTATGTTGCAATTATACTCACGAAACTACTCATGAAACTATTCACCTCATGGCATGTTTGAGTTCATTGCATAAATATCTTGTTATAAGCGATGCACTTTATGATTTGAATTTGAAGAAGAAAATTATTAGGAGAAAATATATATAAAATTCTCATCCGTTAGGAAGACGGCGAATTTATCACCGAAATAACACGCAATGGAATCCATCGAGATACCTACGAGACTGCACGGTCCTTTCTCTCCGTCTTTTTTCTTTCTATCTTTTTCTCTCTATCTTGTTTGTCTTTCTCTCTTCTTCTTCTTCTTCTTCTTCTTCCGTTTTCAATCTTGCTCGCGGAATAAAAAAAAAAGCAGAAAGACCATCGAGTACTATCTCGTGTGGACGTGCTCGACGCCGAGTGACGCCTTAGCTCTATTCCAAGTAAAACTTCCAACAGAAAAAGACGAAATCGGAAACGAAAAAAGAAAAAAAAAAAAGAAAAAAGTATAAAAAGTGACGAAAAAAATCACAAAAAAACCGCCAACTCCCGAAAAAAAGTGTTCTGTAAGTTGACGGCCCAATGTTTTGCCACTAGCGTGACAGCTATCGCCTGCGAGTACGGGCCTCCGACAGAGGGATGCCAGTCTTGTCCGCAGACGTGGACGTTGAGTTAGACGTCGTAGACAGAAACAATAAACCACCTGTGTGGGATGCGAATGTATACGGCCCCATTCACATCAAAGAAAATGTCACAGTGGGTACTATAGTGACGTCGGTGAAAGCCAGGTTTGTATGCCACGACATGACCGAGACAAGACACGTGACATGCCGTGCCGTGCCATGTAGTGCTGTCCCTCCTGTCCGGTATCACTACTGTTGATCGCGGTTTATGATTTGATTTTTTTTCAAATTTTCTTTCGTTCCCTTCCTTTCTCTACTTCAGTTTCACCTCAATTACCCCAACAGCACAACATATCCAAAAGACATCCAAAGGACATCCACTAGATGTCCTCTAAACATTTTTTTGGATATGTGTGCTGTTAGGATATTTTTATATTCTATAAAATCGCCTTCGCGATTCTCCCTTTCGAATTTACTTTACGAGTTCAAGTTCTAATTTCTCTATTTTCTCCTTAATTAACCATTTCATAGATACCTTTCCTTATGTCTATTTAATTATCTCGTTAGACACACACAGAAACACAAGACACACATAATTTTCTTTCTTTTTTAATTTCTGGTTGCGGAAGCACTTATGGTTAAGCGCGGCGCGGTAAATCGCTGATTGGCGGACACTCCTTCTCCTACTACAACAACTTCTGTTACTATTACTACTATACCACTATCTCTTCCTAACATATACTGTAGCGAGCCGCGGCGATCGCTCTTAGACGATATTTGGAGGCAGCGAGTGTTCGATCGGGCAGTCAATCATTTCGGAAATATAATCGAGCTTTTCGATTTTCAACTGGAGTAGGTAAAATAACGAGATATAGTTCTCTAATGGAATAATTTGCATAAATATAATTTTTTCCGAGGAAAAAAAATTATCAAACAAGAAAACTTGTTCCATTTGAAAATTGAACAGGCTCTCGCTTTTTTTTCGGTAAGGAGAAGAGCGACAGAAGGAACCGTGCGTCTTCAAAGATTCGACAGACACAGCGATCGCCGCGCCACAAACCGTAGCGGACATAATAATAATTATGCGAACGCGGGAAGGCAAAGCGGGATTTCCTACTGGCGCCTCTCTCTCTCTCTCTCTCTTTCTCTCTTTCTCTCTAGCGTGCTAATATAAATGTAATACAATAATTAGGCGAGGATGTAGCGAGAGAGATCCTGGTGCGTGCCATTTTTTTGCGTAATGAATTGCGCAGAATGCAGGTGTCCGTGGGGTGTCGTCGATCGTCCATCCAGATCTCATTCAGCTTCCGGCCTGCGTACGAGCTACACTAATACACGCATTCGTGCGCATTCGTCTCTTATCGCTGTAATACCTTTGTATAGCCGAAGTCGTATCGGCGAGGCACGAGGAAGTGCACGCACGATGACGCGCGTTCCAGGCGAAGGTTCGAGACCCGAGAGAGACCGGGCGGTGTTCGCCAAAACTTGGGGGAACGCAAAGAAGAAAGAGAACACGTCCGGCTCTTCTTCCTTTCTTCTCTCAAAAAAAAAATAATAATAAAGAGAGAAACGAAAAAAAAACCATCGGACGAAGAGCAACGACCATATGTCAACCACCTTTTGCCCACGAGCTTTGGCGCCTTGACACTAACGCCGTTGTTTTTTTGTTCCCGTTTGTTATATACACGCGGTCTGGCCGCATAGCGCGAGACGTACAAGCTGGAAGCGATGGCCAAAGACAGGGGCTACCCACCCTTGTCGCGAACGGTGGAGGTACAGATTGACGTTGTGGACCGTGCAAATAATCCGCCCGTATGGGACTACGTAGTGTACGGCCCGATCTACATTAAAGAGAACATGGCCGTCGGGGCTAGAGTTGTGTCTATTAAAGCCAGGTCTGTCACACTGTCAATGCTCCGTGCGGCTCTCTGCACGAACCCGCCCTGCACGCAAATCTCGTGGCAGTATTGTTCTTGTGCACGTTAATTGATATTGTGTACGAATCCACATTACACGCATCTCGACACGTACAAACACACATAATATATACACGCACACAAGCATATATACTCGCTCGCTCGCTCGCATATATCGTAGAAATATAATTGTGTATACAGGGAGTTGTGAATCGCGAGAAACGTAATGTCGGATGTCGGAGTATATAGTGAGAGGAGGAGAGGGTACGTGAAAAATATACCGGAAGTTCTAAGATCGTATTTTATTAGAGCGATATGATTCTCGAACGTGAATTTAATATAAAGAAAATTAAAGCAGCACGAACTATTTTTTTTAAGAGTTAACGAATAAAGAAATAAAGCTTCAAATGGGAACAAATATTAAAGTAGAAGTTAAGTCATTTTATCGCAGATATAGAGCAATAACATTCAATAATTAAAATGCTTCATTGTATTAATATTGTTATTAAAATGCATTTATTAATTCTAAACTTTCCCCGCGAAATTTCATGTAGGAACCATTGCTTCAAATTACGTTCATATTCATTCGAACATATATGAAATATATAATTATTTTTTTTTTAAATATGTAGTTGGCAAATTACATACATTTTCTTAAAAAACAATTATAGGATTTTTATCGATTGTTTTCTTCCATTATTTTGTGCATAAAACTATTGAGATAAGAGTATAATAAAAATGAATATTTTACGAGATATTTTATATAAAATTATGTCAAATTAAATATCTCGTTAACTATTCACTTTTTAACCATTCTATCCTCATAACTTTATGCGGAATACTGCAAGAAAAATTGATTTATTTAAAAAAATTAGGATGGTTTTATTTAAAAGAAGTTTAATTAAAATTCCAGATTATTAACTTTTTTCTGCCTTTTGAAACCTTTACCTTTTGTATGAAATATTTTCTCGTTACAGCCATAGTTTCAGAGATATATCGACTATATATTAATTAAAATGAAACATTCTGTATATAAATAAAAATATATATAAATGCATATCGTATTTACCCAAACACACACACACACACACATTTTTAGACGCTGTGTACCCTCTCTTTTCTATGACGCGAATAGCTATTTGCGATCGCGGTATCGGTCTCGTTAGCGCTTCATTTTTTTCGACTTAGCGTGCAGCAAATGATGCGGTTGTGTATCGGTTTCCCACCGAGCCGATTACGTTCTCGAAACGTTTTGTTGCATCTCTCGACACAAGCAGATACGAAACCATTTTCATTCATCTCGCGGTGGAGCTTTAATCGATTTCGTGGCAAGATTTAATTCCTCTCCGTCACAAGGTAACGAGAAGGCGTTTCTTCCTCCTATGCACTTAAATTGAATAAATAACGCGATCAAAGACCCTGCTTTTTACTCAGAGATCGTGACTTGTAATTTGCAAGGATATATATGTATATATAAGAAACATTACTGGAGAAGAGGAGCCTGTCTGTCTCGACGCGCGTATTTATCACTAGAGTGCAATTTTCCGAACAAAGAGCGTGTCCCATTGTTGCTCCTGATAATCGACACAGGTAGAGCTTCTAGCTATTATTGCATTAAATATTAATTCGCCCGGTTCATTGTTACTCTGAGAATTACTATTAATTTGCGCGAAACGTAAAGAACGGATATGGAAATTTTGTATCGTATCGTATTGTCGAGATAATCAATCGAAAGCTAATTAATATAATTAATTATTGTACGATCAAAAATACGTATTAATTTAATTATCTAAAATATTACAATTTTGACGATTAATTTTTGAAATGTAATACAGCTTCGTATTATTTTTTTTTTTTTTTTCACAAAGATTGAAAAAATATTTTCCGCCATCTTTTAATCTGACTTTTCGAATAGAAATTTAACTTAAAGAAAATATTGCGAACGAGTCGCGGTGGTTTATGGAAAAGAGATGCTCGATCGAAAGCTGATTAGTATAATTAAATATTGTACAATCAAAAATACGTATTAATTTAATCATCTAAAATATTACAACTATGACGATCAATTTTCGAAATGTAATACAGCTTCGTATTATTTTTTTATTTTTTCGCAAAGATATTTTCCGCCATCTTTTAGTCCGACTTTTCGAATAAAAATATAACTTGAAAAAAATATTGCAAACGAGTCGTGCTGGTTGGCGGGAAAGAGAGGAAAAAATCGAGCCGACCGATGTGTCTTTTTGTAGCAAAAACGTAGCGAAAGCCGCGTCGAAAAAAAAAATGTTAGTAATGGGTAGTTTGCGCTTGACATATCGCTTTTAACGGGTAGTCTCGCAGACTTCCGGCGAAAACGAATTGGCTAATTACATACGTACACGTACGCGCGAAAAGTGCCAGGTGCCATCGTCACGCTACTGTCGTTACAAGATGGTATGCGCATTTTATTGTAATTTCGCTGTACATTTTCGAACGAATTCTTTCCGTGTGTCGCGCCATACAAATATTCCCGGTGCTTATCTGGTCTGAACACGCGCCAATTTGATTTTTTACGGGTACTTTAACGGAAATATCCAGCGCGCTACAAATTGAGTAACTTTTGCCTCAACATTTTTTTTTTGGAGAACGAATGATAAAAAATTATATTTGTCTCTTTTCGTTTCTCTTTTCATGTAAAAAATCAAATATTATGTACAGTTTAATTTCTTAATTATATTAATAATTTTAGTGCAAAATATAAATTTTTATTTTATTTAATAATTTTAAAAAATCTTAATTGCTTTAAAATGCGATAAAATGCAATTAACTAGATATTTTTGTACACCTACACATCTGTTACACAAAAACTTTTATGTCACGTTAATTTCTCAGTCTGAATACAGTAAATATTATTAAATATTAAATTAAATATTATTAAATTACATTAAATATATATATGTATATAATGAAATAAAATTTCGGAGGATTTTCCGACAGATGACACGAATTCCAGCAAAACCAACGCTAGTAACGTTAGTGACAGTTTCGAAGGATTAATTCCGATGAGTTTACTCGTTAGGACGTTGGTTTAATGGCAGTCGGAAAGGGATGCAGCAAAACGTTTCATTATTCGGCGTTAGTTCGCCATTTTCCGCCAACTTTCCTCATCAACGTCGCGACCACGCACACGAGTCTCGACACGCAGGGATGTAATTGAATATATAGATATATATATATATACACGCGAACATATACATACATACATACTTTGAC